TTTTTTTTTTTTTTTTTTTGCTGTTGGCTGCACAACTCAGTCCTGAGTCTTGGTTTGTGAAGGTGTCAGGCCACAGGGAGACCTTGAAAGCAGACCTGCTCTATTTTAACTTAACGCCACCTGGACTTTAGTCTGTTGGCCTTGAAATCACCAGGGCTCTCTGGCCAGCCACTTACTTACACTTTGTGGACTATGATCTGTGTGTATAGGGCTTAGGGCTCTAATTTAGTGCCTCTTCCAGGAACATGCACCCTTGAAATAGTCAAGGAAAAAAACAGCAGCTCCTAAAATGACATCTATACTGTCATTTATACTGTGTCATTTCAAATGGGTGGCACTTAAGTAGGGGATGGGTTTGGGGATGTGGGAATTGACTAGTGCATTGTGATTCTCTGCTCTAGTCCTCCTTAAACAACTTTGGGAGAATTAATTGGGGTGAGTCTCATGGGTAGCATTTTATTCTTTTTTTTAAATTTTTATTGTTGGTTGTTCAAAACATTACATAGTTCTTGATATATCATATTTCACACTTTGATTCAAGTGGGTTATGAACTCCCATTTTTACCCCGTATACAGATTGCAGAATCACATCAGTTTAAGTCTAAGATATTATAGGAGCTATATCAGTATTGCATTTTATGAACTTTTCAGAGTCCTCAAGACATTTTTCAGCTCTGTTTTTTGATGTAGTATTACATCTTCTGATAGACTAGGGTCTACATTTAACATTCACATTACATTTGAATTTGAAATGCAACAGGAGTATAATTGAAGTTAACTTAATTTTCCCATAATGGGATAAAAAACTCGAGATATGATCTCTTAGAGACAAATCCAATTTTCGCAGGATGATTGCTTCCCTCCAGCCCTTTGATGTTGAGAACAGAACATCTCTACAGAGCATGCTCCTGGACTGAATGTCCACACTGACTACTGGGAAGTTAATGCCAGATCACTCCCTTGGTTGCAGCTGTTCCTTTCTATTTTAGAACTCCCTTTCATTAGAACTAAACATCATAGTTCTAACATGATAGTGTATTTTCGTGGTCATTTGCAACTTCTTTCTGAACTCAGTTTTACGATATATCCAGATTTTCCAAACCACGTAAGGAGAGTCTTAAGACAATACATAGCTATATCTCAACCTCACTTTTTCCAGGACCCTCTCTCCACCTGCCACCACCCCATTCCTGTCCATCTTTTATTCTTCTCTTGGAGACACATTAATACATGTTTGCTCCCACTGTTTCCTTCAGGGAACTTTCACATCTCTCAACCCAACACAAGCTTCTGATTCTGTCTCCATGCTTCTTCTGTTAGATTTACATGGTGCTGAGGACTTAGCCCTGCATATATTACATCAGCAATCAATGGTTAATTATTAATAACATTTTTTAATAATTAAAAATTATTTTTAAAAATGTTATTTTAAATGTTAAAATTATTTTTTTAAATGTTTAAAAATTAAACAAAAGAGGATTCCCTCTCTAGTTTACATTTTCCCAAAATAGCATGAATATTTATTTATTAAGGCAAGGGCTAAGACCTGCCCTGTCCTTACCTGCACTTGCGCACAGCATTTGTGGTGGGTATTTTGATGGGCAGCAGCAGATCCTTCGTGCAGGCTGCACTCAGAGTCAGGGTCTCACGGTCACAGGTCAGGGAAATCAGGACCAAGCGAGGTTCCTGTCGAGCAGTAACCATGTTCCCATCTTCATTGATCACAAGCCAAAACCTGACATTTTCAAAACACAGGATATGTGTGGATCACTATGACAGGAAGCCAGTCTCTACAAGAGCTGCAATTATACACAGTCATTGTTGATTTCCTCCCTGTAAACCTGGGATGTGTGAATTTGCATGTGTCTATCTGCCTGTAACCAACTCAGCAGCAAGCAAGTGTGAGCCTATCAGCTAATTTCGAAGGGATAAATAATTACTCAAGCACCCAGTACAGTGTGCAGAACATTTTGAGCTCCTTGATGGCACAAAAATCAAAGATGCTAATTGTATTTTCATCTCAATTGACATCTCAGTTGCTGATCACTTTCATTAAACATGCCCCAAGGAGATGATGGGAATCTATTTCTCTAGAAGATTGGAAGGGAACAAGAAAGTACTGTGCTGGCCCCTAGTAGGAAATAGGCTCTCAGCAACAGAAAGACTGTTCCTAATATTGTTCACAGAGCATAGAGTTCAGCTGAGCACTTGCAATTTGCCTTGCCAATTCCACCCCCCAATCTTTTTTTTTTTAACTTAATTTCAATATTCAGTGCTGTGAATTCTGCAATTTGCTAAAAAGTTTATTGTCCATCTGGACAATATTTTTCCTGGCTCAGTACTCCTGGTTTTTAAATACTTCCTGGAAAAAAAGGTAAATGGAGAAATACAGAGTACCATTTCCAAAAAAAGAACAACACATTTGTGTAGGTTCACTACTAAAGAAGCAAAACCTATTGGTATTTTGGTCATTTTAGCATGCACTGATCAAGTGATTACAATTACAGAAGTGAGCTTGTGCTTTGGGGGTCCTCAGACATGAGGAAAAAATAGCAAATATTTTAGATCATTGAAACTATTTCTTGTATCACCTCCAGCAGGATATCATGGTTGAACTATTCAACTACACCAGGAAATATGGTCAGCATAAGCCCTTTCCCTTACTGCTTTTTAATCAGCCCTTCATTCTGCACAGTCTGAACCCTGCCCTGTCTCAAATCCTTGGGATAACACACGAGTATTCTCTCTAGTAATCCTTCCTGGTAGTAACAACAGTTTAATCATTCTAAAGTACAAGTCTGATCTTTGTATCCTCTCATCCAAAATCCCTCCATGGTTCCTACTTTCAGGATAAAATTCTAACTGTCAAGTAAAGCATGCAAGTCCTTATAATCCAACGGCTTTCCTGCTGTTCTTACCTCCCCATGCATTTACAGACATTGGCATTTTTAAAATATGCTTTCAATGGCAGTGAAACACATATGGCATAAATACCCATCATACTCCTATGTACAGACCCCAAAGAATTGAAAACAAGGCGTCACACAGACACTTGCTCATGGATGTCCATCACAGCAGTATTCCAATGTTATAAGGTATTAATAACTCCAGTCTCCATCAATGGGAAAAAAATTTTAATGTGATTCTAACCATTTTGACCATCCTAATCATTTTGAAGTGCATAATTTAGTGGCATTAAGTACATTCACAATGTTGTGCGACCATTACAGCTCTTTCCAAAACTTTTCATCATACCAAACAGAAATTCTGTACCCACTAATGCAATAGCTCTCCATGCTTGCCCTCCCTCATTTTCCAGTAATCCTTAATCCCCTTTCTGCCTCTATGACTATTCTAGATATTTCATATAACTGGAATCATGCAACATTTGTGCTTTCATGTCATGCTTATCTGAATTAGCATTATGTTTTCAATATCTACCCATGTTATGGCGTGTAACAGAACACTCCTTGTCATGGCTTATTGATATTCTACTGGATGTATAAACCACATTTCATTTATCTATCCATCCATCAACAGACACTTGGGTTGCTTCTACCTTTAAGCTATTGTGAATAATGCTACCATGGACATTCAACATTCAATGTTCTAGAGAATATTTGTCATGTTCTAGTCTCTATTTTCAGTTCCTTTGGACAAATACCTCACAGTATGCCAGTCTTACTCCAGCATGTCCTCTTAAGCCAAGAATATATATTTTTTTTATTTCCTCCCTGTAAAGTATTCCTCTCCTAACTTACTTGCAAGGAAAGTTCCTAATCATTTTCCAATTTTCAGCTTAAGACATTCCTTACTCTGTGAAGTCCTTGGGGAGCACCTCCAACAGCTCCTTCCTGTGTGTTCCCTTACGCTTGTCACAATCCCACTGAGTCAGGACTATAGGCTTTTGTTGGTTTTTCTTGATCTCACTTTCTAGGAGTATACGATAGCAAACATAAAGAATTTATCATAGGGTCTGGTATAAATGCCAGCTCTTATTATCTTCTATTATACTATGAGCTTAAATGTTTTCTGAATTGATACGGTAGTAAAATTACAATGCCCTTTGACTCTGGGGTCTACAAAAACAAATTAATTATTGCCTGTATTCTTGATGATTGCCATTCTGACTGGAGTAAGATGAAATCTTAGAGTAATTTTGATTTGCAGTTCTCTAATTGCTAGAGATGTTAAACATTTTTTTCATATATTTGGTTTTTTTAAATTAATTGATTGTATTTTTTAAATACATGTATCTCTTCTTCTGTGAAGTGTCTGTTCAGTTCCCTAGCCCGTTTATTGATTGGGTTATTTGGTTTTTGGGTGTTAACTTTTTTGAGTTCTTTATAGATCCTAGAGATTAATGCTTTATCTGAGGTGCATGTGGTAAAGATTTTTTTCCCATTCTGTAGGCTCTATCTTCATGATATTCATTGTTTCTTTTGCTGAGAAGAAGGTTTTTAGTTTAAATTCACCCCTTTTATTGATTCTTGATTTTACTTCTTGCACTTTAGGGGTCTTGTTAAGGAAGTCAGATCCTAGGCCGATGGGGTGAAGATTTGGGCCTACTTTTTCTTCTAGTAAGTGCAGGGTGCCTAAGTTTTGATCCACTTTGAGTTGAGTTTAGTGCAGGGTGAAGGATAGAAGTTTAATTACATTTTGTTACACGTGTCTTTCCATTTTTTCCAGCACCATTTGTTAAATAGGCTATCTTTTCTCCAGTGAATGTATTTGTGTGGGTTTGTTTCTATGTCTTCTATTCTGTACCTTTGGTCTATGTGTCTGTTTCAGTGCCAATACCATGCCATTTTATATAGGCAACAATAAATGTTGGCAAGGATGTGGGGAAAAAAGATACACTCATACATTGCTGGTTGGAGTGCAAATTGGTGCAACCACTATGAAAAGCATTATAGAGATTCCTCAGAAAACTCGGAATGGAACTACCATTTGACAGAGCTAGCCCACTCTTCAGTTTATATAGAACAGACTTAAAATCAGCATACTACAGCAACAGGGCCATGTCAGTGTTTATAACAGCTCAATTCACAATAGCTAAACTGTGGAACCAACCTAGGTGTCCTTCAACAGATGAATGAATAAAAAAAAAATGTGGTACATATATTTGATGTACTATTTCTCGGCTTTAAAGAATGAAATTATGGCATTTGCTGGTAAATGGACAGAATTGGAAAATATCATGCTAAGCGAAATAAGGCAATCTCCAAAACACAAAAGCCAAATGTTTTCTCTGACATGTAGATGCTAATTCACAATGAGGTGTGGGGGGGGTGCTAGGGAAGAACAGAGTTACTTTAGATCAGGTAGAGGGAAGTGAAGGGAGGGGAGAGGATATGTTGATAGAAAGGATAGTAGAATGAAACAAACATTATTACCTTATGTACATATTTGACGCATGACCTATGTGATTCTACAGCATGTACAATCAGAAAAATGAGAAACTAAACCCCATTTATGTGGTACATATATATTTATGATAGGTCAAAGTGCATAAATACATTCTACTGTCATGTATAACTAATTAAAACAAATTAAATTTTTTAAAAAATCTATTTCAAAAAATAAATAAATAAATTCTACCATTTTTCAGAGTCCACTGTACAAATCATGGAACATTTAGGATTCTGGGCCTTCTTCCTGAAGCAAAGGTGCATAGGCTACAGCCCATGTCAGTCCTGTGTTACTTGCTGAAGTTTTGAGGCTGATCTGGGAGGAAGAAGTTTGAAGTGCAGCCTTTCAATAAGGCCGAGAGTGGGCTTGAGGCCAGACCCAAAAGAGGACAAAGCTGTTGGCTCAGAAGTTTTGAAACCTTCTTTGAACTCCAGCTGTCATCATGCAGAGAGGGCATTAATAAAGCCACTGTTAACAAAGCCCCAATGTGCTAATGAAAACAGGAAGGAGTCCTGCTTTGGCTGCTGTGTAACTACGAATCTTAGTTTCTTTATCTACAAAAAAAAAAAAAAAATTTGAGAAAATCAGGAAAAATAAAATGCAACAGCATTTTTTAGGCTGCCAGCAGGTATTCAATTGCTGCCATAATTATGTGCTTGGCCTTGCTGGGATCTTGGAGGACTAATATTTAAGAGACCTGAACCAATCCTTTGAAGATGCTAGATGGAGATTTAAAAATTTGCTCATAAAGGAGCACAAAAAGCAGGAAATCCGGAAAACGCAGAGGCTCAAGGTCCCAAACCCTCAGGGTCTGCTGTTGTGGGTGAGACTATTTATTTATTTATTCATTCATTCATTCATTCACCCATCCATTCATTCATTCATTCATTCTCCCTCTTTTTCCTTGTCTCACTCCTCTCCCAGTTTCTTTGTAAAGGAAGAAGGACCTATCAGAGACCTCTGCGGACCTTCCCAGCAGCGCTCAGTGTCCCAACCCGCGTCAGCCGCGCCGGGGCTCTGCTTACCTGTCCCGCAGGTGACCGCACCGCAGCCCCATGGCTGTGCATTCCGCCTCGCTCACCGACAGCCCTTTGCAGGACTTGATCGGGTAGATCCACAGCTGCGCCACGGTGCCCACCTGCTGCAGCGGCCGGCGCTTCCTGGGCCGCGCTCGGCGCCAGGCGACAGCCCCCAGGGCCACCGTGGCCAGACCTAGGGCAGCGACGCTGAGCCAAGGTCGAGGCTGCGCCGGGAGGCCGAGGCGGGCCAGCGCCGAGGAACCGGCGGTACCCATGGCCCGAGATGCCCGGGGCGGCGGGAAAGCCCGCGTGGATGGACACTAGGCAGCGGTGGGGCCGGGGCGCGGCGCAAACCCCAGGCCACAGGGAACGTGCGGTCTCAGGCCCGGAGCCCAAAGGGCGTGCAGCTCCTGAGCTCTAACCGGCCAATCAGAGCTCCGCGTCCTTCTTCTGGGAGCTGGTGTGGGAGGTGGTAGCTCAGCTTCCAGTTTTTGCCCTGCCTTCCCCATTTCCCGCGGCCTGTGGCTTCAAGGCAATACGTCCCTCTCCGTGTTCCTGCCAGTGCCTCGTTTATTAACGTATTTGTGGCGTTGTTTGCTTGAACCAAAAAAACTGCGTGATTTTGAATTAGAAATCAGTCAGCGAAGCCTCAGAACTGGAAGGGCCTTGGCTGGGACCCTGCAAGCCTGGGGCTCTGGCTGAGAAGGTTGGTACTAGGACAGGCTTTTTCCACCCTGAGGACTGTGACCTCAGTCACTTGCCACTTACAAACGAGGTCATTATTTTAACCATTTTGGTGAAAGAAAATGAAGAAGAAATCCTTCCTTATGTGGAATATCTGCACAAACTTAAATTGAGCAACAAGAAACCACTTATGGCAATTTTGAAATAATTATTACGTTTTTATAGGTCTAGTCTTTTGAAAATAAAAATAGGTGAATGATTACAATCCTTCTAGAGGGATTATAATAATTATATAAAAGGTATGCAAGGATATGTGATATATAAGCTCTTGATTATTATTTCCGACCTATTTTGATGCACCTGTGTCAATTTTGTTCAAATATTCAGAGTTGAAAACTTGGGACTTAATGAGATAACCAACAAAGCCACCACTATCAGAGTGATTTAGGAGGCTGAGTTGTGTTACAGAAAAAAGAAATTATTCCCACACTTATTAAAATTTTAAAGAAGACTATTCAAATTATTGGGTGTATAGCTCAGTGGTAGAGCACTTGTGTAGCATGCATGAATGATGTCATAAGTTCCATCCCCAGCATGGGTGAAAAATAGTATTCTTACAGGGGTATTACAATAGGAGATGGAGATTGCGCTCAATTCTTCATTACAGAAAAGATATCTGGGGACTTATAGGCAAGGGGCATAAGGGTCAGTAGATAGAAAACCACTACCAGGAGACATCAAGGGGAATGAGACTCTTGCTAAACAAGGAGCTCAAAGTGCAATTGAGGGAAAGGTGAAAGTTGAGGAATTTGAGCCAATATCCACAGTGATGAGCTATCAAGGGTGGGGGAATTCTATCTAAACTGACTTAGCAAGATTCTTGCTAAGAACCTGATTCCACAGGCCTGGGAGGGGTGGGGGGTTGGGGAGTGGAACCAAGGTTGAGGCCTAGTCAAGAAAAGGATCTAAAGTGAAGTTTGGTCAAGGAGTCTTTGTCAGGCTCAGGTAAACCACTAGTCCCTTGGTCTAAAACTGTTCATGCAGAGAGAACATGTCTGGGAATAGAGAAGGGAGAATTCTCAAAGGGGAATAGACCTTTTTCCTTTAGTAGGTAATTCATTTCTGGGCCCTTAAGTACTCAGGAAGGATCCTTCTAGAACATTGTTCCTCATCATAGATGTACAAGCCCAAACAGATGCTATCCTCTCTTCCAATCCTGGATCACCCTCACCCTCACTCCTATGAAATCCAGAAATTGTGTTCAAAGTGCAGAGGTCACTGTTTCTCCAACTATTGGGATGCATTAATCATCTAGACTCTTCCAGGGTTGGCTGGAGGGAGAAGAAGGTTGGGTAAATATTTCCTCCCTGAAAGAAGTGTTGATTGATTATGGTGTGCCACCGAGGATGTGGGTGAAGTGTGACTCATTAGTATGGCACAGGACTTGAGTTCTGTGTTCTCCACAGAAAGACAGCTCCGAGAGACTGACGCCTATGTGTTTCTGTCTGTCTCCCTCCTTAATCTCTTTGGAAAGTTAAAAGGGAAAATATGGCTTTTTTTTTTTTAATGGTTGACTTTAAAGTTAGCATGACATTCTCATTTCATCACTTCACAAAATGTACCAGCAGGACGGCTTGATTACTTACTACTCTCACCTCACAGGGTGCCAGGGATGAAGGTTAACTTCAGTCCCAGAAACTTGTGAAAGAAAACAAAGAAGAAAAATGGAGAAGGAAGAAATACCTGCTCCTTATTATTTACCACTAGGAAGTGTCCTCATCTCAGACCAGCCATCTGTGTACCTGCAGTTCCTGACACCCACACCCACCAGTGACAGGAGGTAATGTCTGTGGAGTCAGAGTGAGTTCAGAAAGGGTCAAGGAAAATGAATGACAGTGACTGATGTTCTAAGATACAATCAGCAAAGCCCTGGAAGACTCAGAAACACCAAAGACAAAATAGGACTGAGATTTACATTTATTAATCATAAAAAAACAGAAGATTATAAGTGGGTCAATCATTTATATATTACTTCAGTGAGCATTTTTTTTTTGCTTAGTCATCAAAACAGTTCATTTTTCTTTGTCGTAAAAAATACACATGTATTTTTAAAAAATGGGTTCATGCTTTCTTCTTTCCGTTCCTTGTCTCAAAATCCCATTTTCTTCTAAATTCCATTTTCCTCTTTATCTTCCTGGGAATTCCATGGGATGTATTGTCAGACATAAACAAATTGTTTTCATAGAGCTTAACAGAGGCATAGTCAAATGTAAAAACAAGGTCTAGAAAATAATTTCTATACTCAAATATGACCCTGATTCCACAATGATAGGGTAAAAAAAAAAAAAACACCAATAGATGAGTGAAACATCAATAGGGCTCAAGAGACAACTCAAGAACAACTGTTAGGCACTTGTGAGCAGGTTAACATGTAAAGGAGCACCAGGAAACAATTTTGTTGCTTGTATTTCTCCTAAAATGAAAAATGATAGGCAAAAAGTATATACATTTAAAATATTTTCTTGAAGTTTTTTGTTGTTGTTGTTGTTTGTTTATTTGTTTTTAACTGACTTTAAACTTTCTTTAAACTCATCAATATTAGAGTCAGGGATTAGAAAATATGACAGTTATAGTAACATTCAAAATAATTTTATAGACAATTTTGTTCATTTAAAAGCCTTTCATTACCTAAAATTTATATTCCATCGTATTCTCAAATGACTTCCAAATACTTTTTCTTGCATTAACTCAGAGCATACATAACTCTGAAAAGTCAAAAAATAGAGAGTCAATCAATTCCAGGAGAAAAATGGTTCGAGGCCGGGTGATAGGGATTTGCTGAGGTATTGTTGATGCTGTTGATAAAATCCTGATGGATGCCTCCTGGATGATAAAAGCTGGATAAATAACAAGAAATTCTGATTATTTGGTTATTTAGTCTACTGATCATAAATAATTAAAGTACCCACAAAATACTTATTGAGGTTACAATGCAGGCAATATAAACTATGTTGTGCCCAAGTGCCAACATGGAATAAAGCAGCCTGTTAAGATTGAGTTCTATGTATATACACACTTTCTTTATCCATTCATTCATTGAAGGGCACCTAGGTTGGTTCCATAGCTTAATTATTGTGAATGGAGCTGTCTATAAACACTGATGTGGCTGCATTACTCTAGTATGCTGATTTTAAGTCCTTTGAGTATAAATCAAGGAGTGGGATAAAATATACTCTACTGTCATATATATCTAAAAACAACAAATAAAAAAAATTGAGTTCTGGCAAGGGCCCAGAGCAAGAGGTCTTTCTTACATGATGCTATGGTTTGAGAGTGTTTGCTAAGGGTTCTCATGTTGGAGGTGTGATCCCCAATGTAGAAAAGGGATCTTTAAGAAGTAGGCCTTCTTAAAGAGAAGTGGCTGGGTCATTAAGGGTGTGTCCTTGAAGAACCTTGAGGTAGTTCTTATGGAATCCCAGTTATCTCAAAAGTAAGTTGTTAATAAGCAAGTGAAATGGGCCCCTCCCTATTCTCTGGCTTCTTGTTTCACCAGGTGATCTCTCCACATGCTCCTGCCCTGATGTCATCCACATGCTGTGACACAGCCAAGGAGACCCTTATCAGAGGCCAAACTGCGGGGGAATCACCCAATCTTGGACTTTTAGCCTTCCAAACTAAGCTAAACAAACTTCTCTTTATTATAAAGTATCCAGGATATTTTGTTGTAGCAACAGAAAATGTACTAATCACACAACATGTTGGGAATGTAGAATGGAAACAACCCTGGAAAACAATTGGTAAGATGCTCAATAATATGCCTACACTCCACGGGCCAATAATTCTACTTTCAGGAATCCAACTTACAGAACAATCCTTTAATTTTTAAATGTCCTTATCCACTATAATATTATTTATAATAAAAGTTGATATAATCCAAGTGTCAAATACTGAAAAATTGTTTTTAAAAAGTATCAATCATTTATATAATTCAGTGTTATAAAACCATCAAAGATGAATTTGAATAGATTGGAGAGTTCCACACCAACCTATGCTTACAAATCATATATATATGTACATATATACACATACACACACAAAAAAAAATATATAATGGCTACATTACAAAAACAAAAATTCCTACCATAATGAAGTTTATAAACAGTGATCAAAGGTGATTTCTTTCTTTTACTTTTCTGGCATTTTACAAATTTGCCATGGTGAACATATGCTGCCATTATAATAAAACATATAAACTTTAGTATATTTAAATTTGAACTAGATAGACAACTCGAATCACCTGTATTAACCCAAGTGCATGTATTAACTGATTTTTCTTTTTAAGGCTTTAGAGGTCTTTCAATTTATCCCATAAAGCTGGTCCTCCAGTATGCATAAACTATGGTGGGCTTGTACTTAAAATAAATAAGCAACACTGTGTTATTTTTAAAACCCCCAAGCAAGAGTCATAACCAGCAAAGAAACCTCTCAGTGTCTGTGGGGGTGGGCAGCAGGAAGACCTCCTCCAGACTTCTCCTCTTCTTCTGCGAGGTACCCGAGGAAGCAATGTTCAGAGCCAGGAAGCACAAGGGCACATTTGGAAATGCCCAGGATTTGTGTGAGGAGTGAAGGGAGTTCAGGGCCCCATGGCAAACAATATCTGGGACACACTGAGGATCTATCTGGGCATTCTGCACCGCCCTCTCCTTGTCCACAACTTCCTCCTTCCTTCAATCACATGCCATCACCCCTGCCTGCCCTTCCACCTCTCCTCTCACCTCCCTCCACACCATCCCACCCATGGGTCTCAGGACCATCTGCCAAAAGCTTAGCTTTGATTATGTTTGGCTTTAAACATGTTCCACACACCGACCTTTATTGCAAACTTACTTTCAAGAACCTACCATACCTGGCTTCATCCCTCTTCTCCATCCTCATCTCCCTTAGTCCCTGCCCCAGCATCCTCCTTGGTCCCTACAAAGGTAAGAACTTGTAGGAGCTTCCATCCTAATAGACCCCTAGAGCACTCTGTGGTCTTCCTTCCTCAGCACATTCAGGCTGTATCTATCCTCAAGCTTTCCTTCATCATCCCACCAGAAAGAACGTCTATCTCCTGTGAACCCACAGAGAACCCTGTCTGTCCTAAGTTACAGCTATTTCTTTATACATACAAATGTATGCCTCTGTGTCGGGCGAAGAGCATGTCTCCTGCCTCTACCTCTTATCGCCTCTGTGGCACTAGGTTAGTTGACTATCTGAGCCTTTGTTTCTTGCCTATTATTATTTCTAAGTCATAGAGATTCTAAAAGGATGATAAAAGATGACACATTATCTTAGGATCTTTAATAAAAAAAGCATTCTGGGAGCTGAGAAATTGGAGGTCATTTGAATTAATCTTAGATGATCCTTGCCTCTCCTCCATTGCAAGAGAGCATCGGATTGGGTCACCTGGAGTACCCTTAACTGTTAAGGGGACTGAGTGAGTCTGTGACCAAGTGACCTGGAGGACCTCTAATTGTTAAGGTCTCTCAGAGACCACTTGACTCAGGCTTTGATCCAGGTCCAGTCAATCATCACTGGAACAGCAGGACAATGGATCAGTTCCATTTATGTTAGATGGCTCAGATTTGGATTCACTCTTCCTGCAAATGGGGGACTTTAGAAATGGCAGGAACTTAGAAATTTCAATTTCCTTTCTAATATTCACTGTATTTCATCAAACTCAAGATACACCAAATGTAAGATATACCATTATTTTATGCATCATGAAGATTTTTTTAAAAAGGTATTCAAAATGCTATAAGAAGCTGTGTAATTTTAAAGATGTTAAAACAGACATCTTAGAGCTGATGAAATATGGTTAGAAATATGGTTACTTGAATACCTACTTATAATAGGTAGCCAATGCACAATTTTTTCCTTTTTGCCTACCTCAAGAGTAAAGCCCATCTCACCTTTATACCCCTTACAGTATCTCAGACTGAGCTATGATGCAATGATGACAATAAAAATCATAGCTATGGGCTGGGGATGTGGCTCAAGTGGTAGTGCGCTCGCCTGGCATGCGTGCGGCCCGGGTTCGATCCTCAGCACCACATACAAACAAAGATGTTGTGTCCGCCGAGAACTAAAAAATAAATATT